TAAGCAGAGCTTGAGGGCTTCATTGGAAGGGTCGTGGCAGGTAGCAAGGACAAAGCAGGCGAAGGCTAGCTGGGAGGACTTCAGGGACTGGTTCCTCCAGGTGTGGTTGGAAGGAAGGTGTGGGCACGTGGGGGGAGGAACAGGAGTGGTGAGGGAGAAAGGGGATGGGGAGGGAAGGGCTTGGGCATCTCTGTTTTCTCTTTCTTCCTTTAGGCCTGTCCCTCTCTCTCCATCCCCACACCTTGCCCTGTTCCTGGGTCCCCATCTACCCATTCCTCTTTAGGGCCCCTGCCGGCAGAATGGAAATAGCACCCGTTCCCTCCCATCTGGGGAGCTGTCCGGGGTTTGTGAGTCTTTTTTATGGGTTCATCCCTTATCGCAACAACGCTTTGAAGTGGTTATTGTTATCCCTGTCAGGGGATGCCATACTCAAGGCTCAGAGGTAGAAAACAATTTACCAAAGGTCACAGTGCAGGTGGCAGAGGGGACCTGACACCCAGATGTTGTGACTCATTGTCAATTCCCTGTCAACCTTCCTGAGAAAACAGTATCCACCACATCCAGATCCTTTTAAGATATCCATGGCCACAGTTCAGTCACTGGGAGTGGAGCCTCCATCTATTCTGGGTTCTTGGCCGTGATACGAATAGTCGAAGTTCCAGGAATCGTGGCCGCTCAGTCATTGTTATTTTTTGTTGTTGTTGTTATGGCTGTTATCATAGGAAAAAGGAAGTGACATTTCCCAAATGTCAAGTGCTTTATATAGTTCATCTCATCCAGTTCTCACAGCAATTCTGTAATAGAAAGAGGTGTCTTCATACCCATTTTGCAGGTGGGGAAACTGAGGCTCAGACAGGGGAGTAATCCCAGTGTCTCTGAGTTGAGAGCCCAGGTTCTCTTAGTTGTTCCACAGCTGTCCTTTCACTGTTGATGTTGCCCTCAAGAGTCAATAGAAGTCCCCGCAATAGGTGATGGTTTTTGGAGGCCACTGCAGGTGGCCGGGAGTACAGTGGAAGGTGCATTATCTAGGGGAGGGTCTCCTGGGAGGGACAGGCAGGAGCTGGCCCAGTGGGGTTTGGGGGTGCCCTGGGCCTGGCGCCCCAGAGGTCAGGTGGAGGGGTGGCTGATGAGGTCCTCCTGCTAAAAATAGTTGGTTAATTACCAACTATTTTTAGGCATGATGTTTTAAATATCAGAGTCGTGGACCAGACACACTTGTTCACATCCTGGAAGGTCCCTGGAGACCTTTCTGCTCCAGGCCTCTGGTTTTATAAATGAAGACACAGGCTGAGAGTGAGGCAGTGACTTGCCCGAGGTCACCCAGCCAGGCCAGGACCCTACTGACCTCGCTTCTCGTGGACACTGATTTTAGGTGAATTTTGGCTATAGACCAGAACCCTATTTCTCGGCCACTTGGGCGTATCCTTCTTATTCAGAAACTTCTGCACAAAATGCCCAGATTCACACGTTCACTCGCGTGTTGGGTAGGCTTTAGAGTGACAGGACAAGCTGTGTCAGCCAGGGAGAGTGGCAACCAGCAGCGGGGTTGCAGGGCTCCCGTACCTGCCTGGAGCTGGCCGACCGGGCTCACGGCGGTCATGTGTTTCAGGCTGCACTGTGTGATGTTGGCGTCAGGTCAGGGACACAGTCCTGGCCTGCCGACTCTGTATGACCCCAAGTCTCTTCTCCTTTCTGGGTCTCAGTTTCCCCATCATCACGGAGATGGTGGTTCTTGCCTGCTGGCCTCCAAGGCTTTAGAGAGGTGTTCCTGAAAGTGTCGGAGACCGCAGACTCTGCAGGTCCAAGTCTTGTGCACTGGAAGCAGCTCAGAGGAGAACCTTTGTCCCTCCGAGCCCTGTGCTGGAGGGAGGGTTGGACAGAGCCAGTGGAGCTCTCAGACCAGCTTCAGCCTGAGAGTGAGCTGGCACTTGTCACTACCTCTGGGCCAGCTGCATTCTTTCTCTGGCCATTCATTCTCCCATCTGCACAATGCTGGGCCCTGGGGGATCTGCCAGCCCTGACGCCCTCTTCGTTCTGTTTCTTGGTGCAGAGTAGCATCTCAGGACCTCCCAACAGAGGCAGAGCTGGGAGAAACCGTCCTTGCTGGCACCCTGGGCAGAGGCCCCTCCTCTGTCAGCAGATGGACTGGATACCCCCAGGGTTGGGCCATCACCCCGCACCATTGATCCAGGTTCTGGCCCTTGGCTTCCAGAATGCTGAGGAGGTTGGTGACAGGCAGCTAGAGCCAAGCCCCTCCTCGTAAGTTTCCTTGCCTTGGGCAGGTCCGCTTAGGCTCCCACCACTCTGTGCTTCCTGCAATCTAAAATCCAGGCCAAGTTCCTGTTCCTTGAGGGGGTCCCCAGTACAGGACAGTCTCAGGGGACAGACTTCATCAGGCCCTGGCTTCTCCTGGCTCCTGTCACCCAGCCTGGTGCCTGGGTCCTCGGGCTTTGCAGAACTCCCCTGGGGTCCAGTGTTGTCTAGCCCCCAGGAGGACCATGGAAGTAATAACCTGCTCATTAGACTGGAATGGTGGTCAGTCCTAGGGGAGGGCCCATTGCAGCTTGAAGCTCAGAAGCCCAGAAAGTAGGGACCCTAGCGCCCTTCAGCACTCCCCCCACCCCCGCCACTGATTCAGCCCCTACTCCTGGGACACTGCCTGACCTTGCGCAAAGCCCCTCATATTTCAAAAGGGGAGACTGAGACCCAGAGAGGGGAGGTCTGTGGCCCTACGGTGAACGGGGGCTAGAACTCAGACCTGGTGCTGGCCCTGCCATGTGAATTGCCTCATCTCTGGGCAGAGCAAAAGCTGCTGTTTCTTTGCTCTGAGACTCCTCACTTTCAGCTCTCCAGGGATTTCCCCTGGAGGGAGGTCTGGGCATCTAGATTTGCCAGAGTTGTAAATCTCTTAAGCCATAAGCTGCTCCTTGGCGTCTCCCAAACGCCCTGATATGAAATACAGATGTTCCTCCCTTTTAATATCTGAGTCTACTTCTGAATTTCCCATCATGTTTGCACCTAAGGATGCAATTACCATTTCCTCCCATTGTCCTCTCTGCCCGTCCCTCTGCTCGCAGCTGACGCAGGCGCTCAGCCCTGCTGGGTGAACATGAGACTGTGAGGTTATGAAGATCAGACTGCTTCTGAAAGCTTCGGGGCGGCTCGGGGCCAGCGATGCTTATCAGTCTACCCAGGGCCCCTCTGAGGTTATTTTCTTCCCTTCAGAAGATGCCTGTGTATGCCACGAGGAGTATTTCCATCAATTCCTCTGCCCGAGCCAGCACCAGCTGCATGCCACCCTCGGCCATTTGTCCCCCCGTCCCCCCAGCTGGCTCCTTCCCAGGCCTGCTGGGCCATGTCTGGTGGGCCAGCCTCCAGGGCCCTTCTGAAGGACCCCCGCCTCAGTGGTTTTTGGCTGGGCCCTGCAGTGCTAACCCAGGGCCGTGTGGACCACGGACCATCCCCGTTTGACCACAGTAGTATGTTTTAGGTTTATGGACTTATGGCAGGTCTTAGATTTAAAACATGAAACCGAGGCCAGGTTTTTCTTCTCTTCCACTGGAAGGAAAAACAAACGTCATGATTACTTGGCTCCTTCTACCTCTGGGCCATCTCTCGGCGCTCTCTTTGGGGTGGGGATGTAGGGGGTAGGCCAGGCCACGGCCCATGCTGGGTGGGCAGCTATAGGGGGAGCCAGCTCCCTGGCCTCACGTAACACCCCTACCCCCGGTGTTAACCTCTGAGCTTCTTTCCACATCTATAAAAGCTCAGTCGTGTCTGACTCTTTGCAGCCCCATGGACTGTAGCCCGCCAGGCTCCTCTGTCCATGGAATTTTCCAGGCAAGAATACTAGAGCTGGTTGGCATTTCCTACTCCAGAGGATCTTCCTGACCCAGGGATCAAACCTACATCTCTCACGTTTCTTGCATTGGCAAGTGGATTCTTTACCACTAGCGCCACCTGGGAAGCCCTGCCATGTCTGTAATATATAGTAATTGCCATTTCCCCCGGTGGCTGGAGGTTTGGAATGCTGTCCTCTGTATAAGTGCAGTCTGTGGAGGGGAGCTCCTTTCTTACTGCCCATCGCGCAGCTCTGTTCAACAATGCTTTGTGTCCTAAGGGATTTACTTTGGGGTAAAAGGAGGCATGTCCTTATGGTGAGCTTTCCATACAATATGATGGTTTTGAGATTTAGGGGCAAGGGGCTTGCGTCCTAGTACTGACCTCACATGTGACAGGCCACTGATGACATGACACCCTGCATTGTTCTGGCCCCCAATAGCATACAGTCCTAGAAACCTCTTTTTTTTCAGTTTGATGGGTTTCTTTTGGCAAAGTTGCTTTTCACCTTGTGCCTTTGTGGGGACACCCATTCTGAAGATGTAGCCACAGGTGTGATGTGGGGCGAGGGGAACACAGGCCACTGAGACTGGCAACTAGGTCCCCCTCCAGCGCCATCAACCATGAGCTGAGTGTCCTGGGCAAGTCAGTTCTTGGAGCCTTGGTTTTCTTTCAGGGTTTAGGCAACAGTGAGTATACTTGGCCTCATACAGAGTTTATGCCCAGGTGGCGGTAGCTTTTTTTTTTTTTTTTGACTCAAGGAGGCATTGGAGGCCATTCCTCCTATTTAACTGACTTGTAGACTGAGGACAGGGCAGGGGATGTCCAGTCCCCACCATCAGTAAGTGATGGAGTGTGAATGCAGGGTGTAGATTCCAAACCCAGGGCCCTTTTCTGCTGTGGCATGCTTCCAACCCCAACCTCTGGTTACCCACAGAGGGCCTGATGAAGTCAGAGTGGAGGCTGCTGCCCAGAGCAGAGTGAGTCCCGGGCTCCAGCCCCAGGGTGGGCAGAGAGCACAGAAACTCGGGTTCCCGACAAAGCCGGAGTTCTGGGCCTCAGCCTGGAACCTCAGGGGAGTCCCAGGCCATCCTTGAGGTTTGCCTGGCAGCCCAAGTCAGGCAGAGATGTGCTAACAGCCCTTTCTTTTTGCTCCCCAGTGTCCGCCAGGACTTCGACGTCCCCACCAGCCACCTGATTGGAGCACACGGATACTGCACACAGGTCAGGGCCGTGGTAGGGTGTGGGGCAGCCTAGCACGTCTTTCCCTTCCTCTTCCCTTCTGTCTTTGCTCCTGCTGGCTCTCCCCGAGCAGCTTTCAGGTTCTGCTGGGCTTCCTCATCACAGAGACCTAGAAAGGGAACTCGGGTTAGCTTCTACTTTTAGGCTTTGCTGTGCCCAATATGTGTGCCTATAGCCACAGGAGGTGCCAAAGAGACAGACCCAAGCACTGCCCAGCCCAGAGCCCCGGCGTGAATGAGGGGCCCAGGTCCAGCTGTGGCGATGACAGTCCTGGCCCCCTACATTTGTACAGGATGTTGTCTTTAGGACCACCCTCCCCTCTGCATCTTCACAGAGGGGCCTTGTGGAGAGCAGGTCTCCCTTAGCACAACTGCTTGTCTTCAATCCTCCCGGTTTCCTGGTGATACAGAAAAAGGATCTGTTTACCTATCATGGCAGGCACTTCCCTGGAAGTCCAGTGGTTGAGAATCCACACTTCCATTGCAGGGGTCACAGGTCTAATCCCTGGTTAAGGATCTAAGATCCCACATGCAGCAAGGTGCGGCCAAAAAATAAATAAAAATAAATTTAAGATCCTGTCATCAGGCGTCAGGACTGGGAGCCAAATGCTACACCTGACTTCTGCCTGAGCTTTTCTCTGCATGGCAAGACCTCCCTGAGTGGCCACCTGGCCACGGTTAAACCCGACCTTCAGTGCCTCTGCGGGCAGCGTGTGTAGCACAAACTTGGCTGGGTGGAGCTTCTCTGGCTGACCCCAGCTGTCCTAGGGGTCCTGGCTCACATGTGCTAGTCCTGAGAACACATCTGGGCACCATGCAAGGGCTAGCTCAGGGCCTGTGGTTTGTCTCAGGCACCCAAAGAGATGTGAGGTTGGCTGTTGCCCAGCCCCCAAAGAAAGGTTTCAGGCTGAGTGGCCACTGGGGGTGGTCCAGCCCGCTCTGGGTCTTCCTACCTGTCCTTCCTGTGGGAGCTTCCCCACGCAGGCAGAGCAGTGCTACTCAAGGGAGGTCACTTAGGCAGTATACAGAGGATATAGAACAGAGCCAGGGCTGAATTCTGAGCTGTGTTGGCAGTTTCACTTGTGGCGTGGGCTGGGACAGTTTTCTTCCCCTCCCTGAACCTTGGTCTCCTCATTTGTAGAGTGAAACACTGGGACTAGATCAGTCTTCTTCTTCTTCTTCTTTTTTTTAAAGTATTTATATATTTATTTGGCTGCATCAGATCTCAGTTGTGGTGCACAGGCTCTTTAGTTAAGGTGTATGAGCTTAGGTGCCTCATGGCACATGGGATCTTAGTTCCTCAGCCAGGGATTGAACCCAAGCCTCCTACATTGGAAGGTGGATTCTTAGCCATTGGACCACCAGGGAAATCCCTAAGTCAGTGCTTTTTGAACTTGGATGTGCCCGTGAATCCTACAAAATCTTGTTGAAGAGCTGGCTCAGATTCAGTGGGCCTGGACTGGGGTCTGAGGTTTTGAATTTCTCACAGGCTTCCAGGAAGGGCGATGCTGCTGGTCCACAGGTGACAATTTGAGTTGTGAGGAGTCAGGTGACCACTAAGCTTTGCCACTGTGTGATTTTTGAGACTAGGGTCAGGGAGTGGCCTGTCACCGCTTCTCATTTTGAGAAGGCTTCCTGCTCTGAGGAAGGTTTTGGGATACCCCTCAGATGGAGAGCAGGACCTATTCTCCCCGTCGAAAGCCATTTGGGAACACTTGAATGTATCTGGAGAAGTCTGTGCCTTTCTTCGGCAGCCACTGCCCCCAAGGTGCAGTATCTCAGAGCAGACATTTCCTCCAAATTCCTTCTTGCTTCCTCTGTAAGAATACAATGAGCCCCCCTCGGCATCTCCCTTAAATAATGGCCCCTCTGCGGCCATCAGAGGGGCCTCTTTTACTACCTCTGGGCTAGGGATCCTGGTGTTGACGGAGAGAGTTATTAACCTGCATATCGCTCTCACAATTCAGGGGAAAACACTTCTGTGAACTCTGCCCTCCAGAGTTGATGATAGGCAAGGGCTGTTACGGCCGTTCCCACGTACCACCGGGGAGATTCCTGAGGGCTGGCCTCAGACATGCAGCAGCCCTGGCAGGGGGTGGGTCAGACAGAAGATCCTGCCCCAGCGTTAAGGCTGGGCTCTTGCAACCTTCCTTAGTGGTGCAGCAGATACTTAAAAGTTGCCCTTCATCTTGTATCTCTGGCTGGCCAGATGGTCCCCTCAGGGGTAACGAGTGAGGGGAGAGGGAAGGGACGCTGGAAAGGGAGCTGGAGAGTGAGGGTGGGAGTCCGGCTCTGTCGTTAAGCGGCTGCGTGGCCTGGGCAAATCCTCCGCCAGCTGTGAGCCTGATTCCCCATTCTAACAGGAAGCTGGACCCCTGGACGCTCTGCTTAGGGCAGGGCCCTTGCAGCCATCTCGGCACAGGAGGCACTGCCTGAGGGAGAAGATCAGAGAGTCACTGCTCTGCAAGTCTGGTGGTTCTGGGGTCGGCAGGCGCATCGGCCTGAGAGGTGTGCAGCACCTGAGTCCCGAGGCCACGCTGCTGACAGGGCCAGAGCCAGAGCAGGAGCCCAGGCCGGGGCCGCCTGCCCCCACCTCCCTGCCTCTGCTGGCCTCACCTCTCCCTCCTTGCTGGAAGACCCTGCCCTCACTGGTGAAGTCCTAGTACAGCCTGGATCTGAGTTTCTGGTGTCTCCCCATGGTCAGCTTCCTGGTGTTGAGAACATGCTCTGGTTACGCAAGATGTTATCTGTGGGGGAAGCTGGGTGAAGGGTACACAGGAACCCTCTGTGCTATTTTTACAACTTCTTTTGATTCTCTCAAATTATTTCAAAATAAAAAAGTTTACTAAGAAAAGAAAGTCTAACACTTCAGGACCCACCCAAATGTCGCTTCTCCACAAAGCGTCTCTGACTCAGTCATGTGGTCCTGCGTCCGTGTGGGCCACGAGTGCTCTATGCACACATTTTTTACAGCTCCGGTCACTTCCTACATTGTCCTTCAGGCATGCAGGCCCATACCTGATCCTCTCTGCTCTAGACCCGGACGCCCGGGGTCAGGAGCCACTCTTTCCCTCCATCAGGAACACCGCCCCCTGCCCCCCAACGGGGTCCCGGGTGCAGCTGATGCTCAGTGACTGCTTGTGGAGTAAAGACGGATGAGTTCCCAGAGTCGCTTTGATGAGCAGCGCTGGCAGCTTCCCCGAGGGCCGGGGGGAGAGCTGGGTACGGCCCCTCTGATGTTGGTCTCTCCTCTCATCAACAGGAACTTGTCAATCTGCTCCTGACCGGGAAGGCCGTGTCCAATGTTTTCAACGACGTGGTGGAGCTGGATTCTGGGAACGGGAACATCACGCTCCTCAAAGGCATCTCCTCACGCAGCGACATAGGCTTCCTGTCCCTCTTTGAGCACTACAACGTGTGCCAGGTACCCTCGGAGCGCTCGGGCCCCCGGAGACCCAGGAGCCCAGCCCTTGGGGACCCGCAGGAAGCAGGGAGGAGAAAGAGAGCTCGACTCCAGGTCCCGGGAGCAGGGTCCAGTCTCAATCACAGAGGCTTCGGGAGAAGTGTGGCTCCCCTGCCATCCAAGGTTCACACCCACAGCCAGCAGACACCAGGAAAGGGACTTCAGGGGATTTTTAGCATCAAACGGCCGCAGTTGTCGTGTGTGTCTGTGTTGGCCAGGGCGTCTTCTCCAGTGATCAGGACCTGAGGTCTTGGGCACCATGTTAGTTTCCTAGAGCTGTCTCAACAAAGCATCACAAGCTGGGTGGCTTAAAACCTCAGAATGTGGTGTTTCATGGCTCTGGAGGACAAGTTCTCCTAATACAAGTCCAAAATCAAGGTGTTGGCAGGGCCATGCTCCTCCTGAAATCCACAAGGAGAATCCCTCCTTGTCCCTTATAGTGTTTGGTGTTTTCCAGCAACCCCTGGTGATCCTTGGCTTGTAGAGGTGTCACCACAATCTCTACCTCCCGTGTCACACGGCCATCTCCTCCCTCAGTGTTTCCTTAGAAGGAGACAGTCATGTGGATTGCGGGCCCACCCTACTCCACTAACTTCATCTTAGCTAAGTAACCTACAGCAGTCCTGTTTCCCAGTAAAGCCACATTCTGAGGTACAGGGGGCTAGAACTTCAACAGATCTTTTTTAGAGCGGACACAGTTCAATTGTAGTAGGTCTCAGTCGGTTTGCAAGTGTTTTGGTCCCTCTACCTCTCCTGTCACTTCAGCTGGGGTCTTAGAAAGGATGTGACCCCCAGGTGAAGCTGGGCAGAGGGTAGGGTGACAGTATCTCTGGCAACATGGGCAGGGGACCACTGGGCCCTGTGTCCTTGTCCCTGCCTGCTGCCAAGCCTTCTCCGAATCTCAGGGAAGAATTGTTCTGTGGTCGATTTCACGAAAGAGTTGTCCTGAGGGAGCGGCAGGAGGTCTTTCTGCAGTGACCAGCCCCACAGAGGTTCTTGGAGGGTCAGGATGAGGCCTCATAGATCTTATATCCCCAGGACCAGGGATGCAGAGACTGAGCCAAAGGGATGCTCAGAGCATGCTAGGTGGATGGGTGTGTGGTGTAGTTCAGTTTCATCATGGCCTTCCTGCGTGATCACATGTTCAAGTGTGCTGTCTCCATTGAACACCACTGTTTGGGTGGCCCCATCCCCAGACATCTGGGGATGACATCTGGGGGTCATATCGGGATGACCCCCCACCCCCACCCCCACAGACAGGAAGCAACCCTGTGGGTTCCAAAGACTTGGGGAGTAAAGAATGAGTGACTCATTCTCAGGTGTGCTGATGTCAGGAGAGCACCCAGGAGTGCAGCCATGTGGCCCACGAGATGCACCAGGCACCCTGAGCCTTGGACCCTGTGTGGGCTCTGCAAGCATTCCCCCGAAACTCTTTGGGCTGAGAGGTAATCTTGACCAGGCTCACAGAATCCCAAGGCTTACTAAGAGCCCTGATCTCACTCTTGTGTGGAGGGTGTTGGTCTAAATGTAAACTATTTTCCTTTGGTCTGTTGGGGGTAACTGACAGGAACATCAGTTGGGCATCATCCTTTCCTTAGAGTAAAATGCTGATTGCAGAAATTCAGATCCTACAATGATCTGAATCCTCAGATCCACATGGAATCCCCACCCCAGCCCCCACTGTTTGTTTTATTGGAGATGGGCACTCTCTCTCCTTGAAACAAGGGGTGGTTTGCTCCTCTGCCTTAGGACAGCAGCCTTGTTAAAGAAGGAACCCTGGGCCTCTCCCCTTCTCCCCAGAGCTCTCTGTGGACCAGGCGTCTGAAGGAGAAGGTGGAGGCCTGGCAGTTGACCAGAGTGCTTTCATCTTCTGGAACTCCACCCTCCGTCGTTTTGGTTCTGAGTTCCCCAGGGCCTTCATGATTAGCCACATCAAACAGAAGGAATCCAAGGAGGTTAAGCATCCAGGCCCAGACCTGGACCCAGAGCCAGGGCCCCACTCAGCCTGGCCTGGTCTTTTTCCACCAGGCAGCCCAGATGTGCTTATGGGGAAGATCTGGTGTTTGGAGCAATCTGGAAATGATGTCCACAGCAGAGCTGTTCTGATAAGGCTGAAGCTTTTCTTTCATGGAGATGGCAGAGCCAGGCCTGCCTTCACTCACAGCCCATCTCCAGGCTTCTCAGTGCAGCCTCTGGCTGGGAGCCAGAGTCCTGGGCCCTCACGAGTCTGTAGGGGGGTGATAGGTCCTGTCAGGTGACCCACATTCCTCCTGTGCCCTGGGAGAAGCAGAGGCAACTCTGGGCCAGAAAATGCACCCCTGCCATAAGTAATGAGCCCCTACCCCTTCCCACTCCAGCCTGGCTGTGTCCTGTGGAGCCCGATTTTTTCTCCATGACCAACTGGACTGGCCTTGCCCATCTGACTTCCCCTTACTCCCTCCATCCCCAGGCTTAGTGTGAAGGCTAGGCTGCACTGGGAAGACCAGCTCCTCCTGGCTCCTGGTGGCCGTGGTGATGGGGGACTGACAGGCCAGAGAGGAAAGCATGGCACAGGGAATTTAACTTAAGGGCTTCCCCATGACCTGCAAGTCATGTTCATTGCTTGCCTTCATGGAGGGACCTGGGTAAAGACTGAGCTTGGCAGGGAGAGGTCTATAAGTGCCACCTTCCTCCCCTTTGTCCAGCTCCACAAACGGCACCATCTGCCCAGTTACTTGAACCAAGAGTGTGTCCAGTCCATCAAGAGGTCATGGGGCTCCCACCCTAAGTTGTTTCTCAAGTCCTCTTTCACCCCTGTCCAAGCCACCAGCCTCGCTGGTCTGAACACCTGTGGCAGCCCAGCTGGCCTCTGGCTCCTGTCCCCACCTCCTTCCAATCGGGCTCCTTCTCTGAAGCCAGTGTAATCTTTAAAAGAGTAGATCGATCACATTATTCCATTGCTTAACAACTTTCCATGGATTCCCAGCCCTCTGAAACTGTTACGGGCTGAATCGTGTCTTCTCCCCGATCCTTAACCTGACATTCATTTGTTGAAGTCCTAGCTGGCAGTACCTTGGAATGTGACTATGCTTGGAGATAGGGCCATTAAAGAGGTTACAAAGGTGAAAGAAGTCCGATGGTTGGGCCCAAATCCAGCTGACTGGTGTCCTTATCAGAAGAGGTTGGGACATAGGCACACACTAAGGGTAGGCCACTTGAAGACACAGGGAGAACCTGTCCACCTTCATGCCAAGGAGAGGGGCCTCAGAAGAGACCAACCCTGTTGACATCTTGACCTGGGACCTCTAGCCTCCAGAATTGTGAGAAAATTAATTTCTGTTGTTTGAGTTGCTCAGTCTGTGGAACTTTGTTATGCAGCTCTAGCAATCTAATACAGAGACTATAGTCCAGACCTTCCCTTGATTGATAAGGCCCTACATCCTGTCCCTGCTTTTCCCACCCTTCGTGTTTTGACTTCACTGTCATTTCTAAGAGGAAGCCTTTCCTAACCTCACCACTCTATCTCAGTAGAGGTCTCCTCTTGTGGCCCCCTGCCCACCTTGTCATTCTCCATCACAAGAATCTTAATTCTTTCCTTCACAGGCCTCCTCTTGGTTTTACATATCCCATTTCATTGCTTTTTTTTTTTCATTTATTTTTATTAGTTGGAGGCTAATTACTTTACAGTATTGTAGTGGTTTTTGTCATACATTGACATGAATCAGCCATGGATTTACGTGTATTCCCCATCCCGATCCACCCGACCCCCACCCCCACCACCTCCCTCTCTACCTGATCCCTCTGTGTCTTCCCAGTGCACCAGGCCTGAGCACTTGTCTCATGCACCCAACCTGGGCTGGTGATCTGTTTCACCCTAGATAATATACATGTTTCGATGCTGTTCTCTCGAAACATCCCACCCTTGCCTTCTCCCACAGAGTCCAAAAGTCTGTTCTGTACATCTGTGTCTCTTTTTCTGTTTTGCATATATGGTTATTGTTACCATCTTTCTATATTCCATATATATGTGTTAGTATACTGTAATGGTCTTTATCTTTCTGGCTTACTTCACTCTGTATAATGGACTCCAGTTTCATCCATCTCATTAGAACTGATTCAAATGAATTCTTTTTAAAGCTGGCAGTTTGTGAATGGGTTGGAGGCATTTACACACCTCTGTCCTGCAAAAGATGCAAGAATCCATTTAAAAATACAAGTTGACCCTTGAGCCACTCATGGGTTAATCTGCATATAATTCATCATAGATTCTCCATATCCACCATTCCTCGGCCTCCAGAGTCAACCGGCCATGCACTATGTAATAGTGTAGTAGTTACTATCGAAAAATACCCATGTATGAGTGGACCCGCACGGTTCAAACCCATGTTGTTCAAGCGTCAACTGTAATCCCTGAAGATTGTGCTGCACGTTCACCCACTAGGAGAAAGCCTGGGGCCGTGCCGGGGGGACGGGAAATGTGCCCCCACCCTCCTTCCTCGCCCCAGGCCTTTGGTTAGCTACCCTAGAATCCACAGGGAAGCCAATTTCGTCTTTGGAAAAAAGTCACCCAATTGGAAGGGGCTCCTGAATGAGAAAACTCATTTATAAATTCCCCGGGCAGCTTTTTTTGCCCTTAATCTTTTGACCATTGCTTAGATGGCAAGCTGCCCTTTTGTCCCTCTGCTGGAAAATTCAAGGTGGCTGATTCTGCAGACGCCGGTTCCTGGCGGGCTGCACGGCACTTTTTCCTGCAATGAGTGAGCGCTGGCTTCCCAGTCTGCAGAGCTCCCTGTTCGAGGTGATGCCCTCACCAGAAAAGCCTCTTTTAACTGGAATGGAAGCCAAGTTTGCAGTGGGCTTTGGGCACGTCCAGCCACGTCCTTTAAGACAACGAATTCCCCGCCCCCCTCACCAAGGAGGGAGCTCTGTAGTCACACTTTACTGTTCCCAGGGGGCTGGGGTGAGGGCCTAGCGGGCCAAGTAGGACATGGGCAGGGTGCTTGGATAATGAGAAAGTGAAGACTTTGTGAAGTTCACCCTGCTACCCTCTGTCGGAGGTTCACAAGCAGGCATTTCCCCAGAGCACAAGCCTCTCTGGCCGAGACATGCCAGCTCCAGGTGGGCTATGGGAGGCCTAGTCTTCTGGGACGGGCCCTGGAGAAAGTATGCCCATCTCCCCACTGGAAAAATAATTCCCATTCTTTCCTTAATCCACAGGCTGTGGCTGTAAATACCTGAGTGTGCAAACATCTCCCCGGGGCTGGTGGGGATTAGGCCGAATCAAGCCTGGCCCACTGCACGTACAGAACTGAATCAGCCAGGGCCCAGGGTTGGGAATCACAGGTGACAGGGAGAGAGCATGTTGAAGTCTGGCCACCAAGGGGCAGACCAGGCACGCATCTGGGTGGGGTGGGGGGCCGGGCCCCGCCTCTCCCCTTTGCAGATCCAACAACTGGAGGGCCCTAATGTTGATCCTGTGCGTCTGCCTTGCCCACAGCACTCCTCCACCATGAAGGTCCTCTGCTGGGGACTTTCCAAAGGATTTCCTCCTCAGGAACTTCCACCATTATTCTCCCCTTCCCTGCTTTTCCCTGATGCCTGCTGTTCCCTGAAGGTCTCTGAACATCTGTCCTGGCATCACGCATAGATGCTCGCCCAGAGGCCTTCCCTCCCTTCTCTACCTGGCTCCAGCCCCACCTGTCTTCAAGCTAAATTCTTAGCTCATGTTCTGTTTCAATCACCAGGACCTTCAGTCATCAAACATTTGCTTATATCGACTGATATCCCCTGCACTGCTGCTAAGGGTATATAGTCCGTGCAAGAGGCAGGCAGACACGCTGTCATAGGGCAGAGGGATGCGCTGTGACAGAGGAGGGTGGGTACTTGGTACCTAGTTCCCATCCTCACCCCGGGACCCAGCAGGGGGACATGATGCGTGCTCTCTGACTGGGTCATCCGGATGAAGCGGGACCTGAAGGAGAAGGGAGGTGTACTCGTGGACAGGATGCAGGCATGAGGCTTGCCCTGCTGGATTAGCTTGAGGACTGGTGAGAGGCCCTGTGTGGCTGCGGCTGGGGAGGGGAGGGTGTAGGAAGAACCGGTCAGGAGGTCATTGCTGGGGGCAGAGGGGCTGGACATGCGGGGGCCTTCAGTGGCACGATGGGCAGCACCACATGCCAGCTGGCTGCCGGAGATAAGGGGAGGGTGATGCCCGGCTTTCAGGCTGGGGTGTCTCCCTATGACTGTCTGTAGGGAAAGGCCCTGGGAGTGAGGGGCTCAGTGGGCAGGGACAGCCCACTGTCAGTGAGCAGCACACACAGGCCGGGATCCCCCACTGGACCCCACTGAGGTCAGCCCACAGGCCGGGATCCCCCACTGGTCCCCGCTGAGGCCAGCCCAGGCCTGGGGTTGGACAGAAGATGCGCCAAGCTGCTCCTCTGGGTGCCGTGTTGCATCAGGTGTCTCCATCTGCTCCCTCTCCTTGTCCAGGTGGGCTGCTTCCTGAAGACCCCGAGGTTCCCCATCTGGGTGGTGTGCAGTGAGAGCCACTTCAGCGTCCTCTTCAGCCAGCAGCTCGAGCTGCTGCGAGATTGGAGGACCGAGCGGCTCTTCGACCTGTACTACTACGACGGCCTGGCCAACCAGCAGGAGCAGATCCGGCTGACTGTCGGTGCGCCGCCTCCCCACTCATCCTGTGCAGCTAGGGAGCCTCCAGACTGGTCGGGGACGCTGGCCTTAGCACGCCCAGTCAGGGCAGGCAGAGAACAATGCAGACTCGACTGTTGGGGCTGGGGGATCAGAGGGCGAATAAAAGCAGGGCCTCCTGCAGGAGGGGGCCAGCACTGGGCCTTGAGAAATGGTGGGCTTAAAGGGTGGAAGGTGAGGTGGAGACTACATAGGAAAGCGCATCATGCCAGCAAGTTTGGGTTTTTAATCTTCAGGCAAAGGGGAGCCGTGGAAGGTTTTGGAGCAAGGGGAGTGATGGGGTGAGATATGTTTTCGGAAAGAATTATTCTGGTAGCTGAAGTGGAGCAGGAGGGTGGGGTAGAGACTGGAGATGGGAGGCCAGTGAGTAGGTTCTGTGGTATCTGGGTCAGAGCTGACGGGCAGGAGCCAGGGAAGGTCCAAACGAGAGGAGAAGAGCGGTAGGTGCCCGAGGAGTCAGGTCTGAGGAGTAGGGTTGTTGATGCTGACCTCAGGTGAGCCCGGGCCTGGCTGATGACCGTGTGCCTCTCTCTCTCCCTCCCTCACCAGACACCACCCAGACCGTTCCTGAGGACAGAGACAACGGCCTCGTCCCTCCCCTTGAGCTCTGCATCAGAACCAAGTGAGTCAGGCTCATCTCTGACTTCCGAGCCTTGCCTGAGTGGTGGTGGAGGGGTGGGGGGTGAGGTGCAGCAGTGGTGGGGGGTGGTCTATAGGAAGGAGAATGGGGTTACTGGATTGTCCCCACCTAGGAGGGGTGTGTGTGATGGGGAATGGAGGACCCCCGCAGACTGGAAAGACTCAGTGCTGGTTCATACGTGGCATTTTCTGGTCACTGGAGCCCAGGGAGAAGCGTGTGATTTGTGAGATGACATGTCTTCAGACAACTTGTTAAAATGCCCCATGTCAGGTGGTGGGGGTGGTGAGCTGGTGCCTCTTGAGACCCCTCCTCATTCAAAGCAGCAGCTGCCAGATGTGGTGAGTGCTGTCAGGCCCAAAGGAGGAAGAACAGGTGAGGTTACCTGGTGGTGTCGGGTGGGGGGGGCGGGCGGGGAGGCTCTTGAATAGGATCAGAAGCGAGGAGGACCTGACCTGGCCAGGGTGTGCTCAGCCACAGCCTCCTGGAGAAGCGATGCCTCTGCGTCAGGGAGGGGCGGCCCCGGACCTTCTGCTGGTGCAGGTGGGGCCCTCTGAACACCCAGTGGAGGCACCCTGGAGCCTCCAAGGCAGTGGGGGTCCTCCAGTCCTATCACCCCACCCTCGGTCTTTAGGGAGCCTGAGGATCAGGCCAGGGGACTCACTTGACTCAGGAGTTCTCTGACTAGGCCCAGAGCTGGAGCGGCACTCTGCAGCGGGGAGGCCGGGGGAATTGCCAGCTCTCAGTCTGACCCTTCTCAGAGCCTCTGGGTGGTGACGCAGAGGCCTCAGGGTGCCATGGGAGGGGCAGGCCGGGAGGGAGGAGACCCGGGTTCCAGCAGGGGAGCAGGAGAATGTGCCAGCGTGGTGAGCGTGGGTCCCAGAGTTTGGATCCCAGCCTCACCGCTCTCTGTCAGTGAGCCATCGGACTTCTGTCTGTGCCTCACTTTGTCGTCTGTAAAGTGGGGTTGCTGGCCGGGCCTGACTCACACAGCTGTCATGAAGAGTACCCAGGACATCACCAAGTGCCTTGCACAGCCCTGGTTATTATTGTCTCAACTGCTCATGACTCCCAGCGACCTTGGGTGGAACCTCTGTTTTCCTGTTTGTGAGGCGATTGGGGTGGAGGATGTGGGCCATGTCTGGGGCCCCATGTCTCTGACTGCCTGAGATCCAGGGGGCTCACCTGGAGCCTAGGGCTGCTGCCCAGCCACCCACAGGCCAGTGAGCCCTTGAATAGAGCCGAGGAGAGAAAGTAGGCTCCACAAACACAGGAAGGGACGTAGAGGAGGTGTGGGGACATCTGCCTTGTCCCCTACTCATGCATCCATCTGCTCATCCGTCCACCTGCCTGCCCGCCGGGCCGGGGTGGAGCATTCCTGTGGGGTCATGTGCCGGCGTTTCTTTCGTCGGGAGGATTAAAGGCACACGCAGCCCGCTTTCCTTTCATGTACAAAGGGCCACTCATTCAGAGTGATGAGAGACGGGCAGCAGCGGGGGAAGGAGGTGACATCGACCTTGGCACCTCCTGTAGGACAGGGTGGGGGGCCACCGGGCATCCTTCCTGCAGGAGGGTCTAGGCGCAGGCTCTGCCCACCTCCAAACCCCTGGGACCTTTCCCTGAAGGCCTCTGCAGGAAAGTCTGTCTCTGCAGCCCTCCCCGGTGGCCCACTGCCCTGAACCTCTCCGCTGACGCTCTTTGGAGTAACTCCTCCTTTCCTGAGAATGCTTCTGCTGCAGAACTCAGCTTACCAGGTGCCTCCCAGGGATCCAGGGATTGGTCTTTGTAGGCTCAGCCCTGATTGACAAGTGCTTGAGAATGACTTGGGGCTCTGGTCAGTCCAGAGATGTCCAAGTGTGAACGTGGGCCTGAGGCTCCTCTCCCTCGTCTGTCAGTGGTCTCTTCTCTAGGACCTACCCCTGCTCTGGGGTGGGGCCACGGGCCCTGAAATGAGCCAGTGAAATGACGGCATGTGAAATGATCTGGAGAGGCTTCCCTGAGCCCTTGGCCTGGGGCAGGCGGTCCAGGTTGAGTCCCTGCCCCGCCCTCATCCATCCCTGCTCACTGTCACGGGAGCAGCCTGGGCCAGACTGAGTCCTGGCATCTCCTCCAGCAGAGCTCCTTAGTGCTTGTCACAGATAGAAAATCATCATATGTGGGCAACACACAGGGTTTGGGACAACCGGCCTGGGGCCCCTGGTTGGCCCAGACTCCACACAGTTCCCTGCTGGCTGAGGGGATCAGTGGCCTGGCATGTCTGTGTTTGTCCCCTCACAGGGAAGGTTTGCTCTAGAGTGTGGTCCCCAGGCTTCAGCGGGCCTCCCCTGGAGGGGCATGGTTAAACAAATCCCGTGCCCCCTGACCTCCACCCCTGAGCTTCTGGTTCAGTCTGTCTGGGATGTGGCCTGAGAATCTGCATTTCTCGAGTTCCCGGGGGCTGTAGGCGCTGTGTCCTAAGGCGGCCCTTTGAGAACTGATGCTCTGGTGGCTGGTGGGGACGGTGGCCACCTCCCCCTCCCCCTCCCTGGCTGCCCGGTGAGGGTCAGCCGTCAAGTGAGATGCTGAGCCTCCAGCATCTGGCCTGCTCTGACACACTGGCCCTGAGGTACTTCCTCCCTGGCTCCGCGGCTGCCCCCCGCCCGCCCAGGTCTAAGTGCTGCACCCCTGTGTGGACTTTGCTGAGACCAATTCAACTTCTCCCGTCACTTGCTCTACCCTGTTGGGTCCTTCTGGGTAGTTAACACGGCACGACTTTTCCCAGCATCATTCCCGGAAAGCTGAGTGGGTGAGTGAGTAGAGGGAATGTGGGATTGTTCCCCCTGTGTACCCGTCAGATAACATACCATTGTAATGGGAAACAGCAGGCCCGGCCTCCTGGGATCCTGTTCCAAGGGGTTGGATTACAAAGGCTTTGCGTTTTGTTTTCATCCCAGATTCTCAAACAGCTCAGAGGGAGAAACTTGGGAAAGTGGCCTTCGAGGTCAGTGAGACCCACTAGTGCTGGGGCCCAGCCTCTTGGGGGATAGGTCCTGCTGCCTTGACAGAAAGTGGGTATGGCTCGAGCTCAAGTCCTTTCCAAGGCCAGTCGGAGTCCAAGCACCTGCTGAAAGGCAGGTCTCACGGCAGCATAGACCAACTTGAGGGCAGGTGGGATTTCTCCATCATCACTCCAACCTCATGAAACTTCTGGACTTGACTCTATGCAAGAAACAGCTGGATGAGACTTGCGTCTTGCTCTCAGAGTTCACAAATGGACAGAAGTCAAGTTCAGAGTCAACTCTGTTGCAATGCAGGAAGAGGTGCACTGCCCACCCTCAGACTCAGCTCTTGTCGCCCTGTAAGAGCCTCTGACACTCACACCAACCTGCACGAGGCACGCCACATGCCCGGCCATCTGGCGGCCTGCTTGGGTCCACAGAAAGGCCTTTGGACAACTTCTGACATGGCCCTTCCTTCTGCGGACAGGGTTCTCTAGGGTTGGGGTCTGGCCCCAGGCCACACCCCGAGTCAAGAACGGTGCAGGGCCTGGAGCTTAGGCCCATGCTGTCCCAGCCCAGTGGAAGGTCACTGAACGGGCAGGGTGACTTCCCACCACCTGGCTTTGTTGCCATGGTGACATTGCACAAGACCAGACTGCCAGACTTTGGAGAAGAACATCCTAATTGGAATCCACCCCAGGTCCCGGACCATCTCCACTCTCTAGTGTAACGCATGCCTCGGCCTCATAGAATCTCCTGTTACCTTTGCTTGTGTCTGTCCCCTACCCTCCTCCCTCCTCTGTTCTCTAGCCATCTCAGCAAAAAAAAAAAAAAAAAAAAGCCTGATTTATGGTCATTTCCAAACAAGGCGCACACAGTAACCTCTCTCAAGCTTCCAGCCTCAGTAGAATGGGGGAGAAAAAATGAAACAGTTGTCAACAGTCCAGAGAAAAGAGGAAAGAACTCATAACTGGGGCCTGGGGCTGGGCCACAGATGTTTCTGTTTGGAGGATCAGACGAAAAATGGAAAATGTAATTTCAGCTGGGATGGTGCCTTTGAGGGGCTGTAGCCGAGTGCCCACCTCCCTCTGCTGCTCCCCCCTACAGCCTGAGGAATCTCTGCAAACACCCTTCTTGCCTCGGTGCTGTCTTCACTGTGCCTCTCACCCGCTGAGGGAGAGTACCCTGGGTGCTCCTGCCACCCAGCCCCCCTCTTCTGAGTCCCCCCCACTGCAGCCCATAGGCACAATGGCCCGTGGTGTTCCTTGTTCATGGAATATGCGACACCATGTTGCACAGCATTGAACGGGAGTCTGGAGACCCCGACTGAGTCCTGGCTCTGCTACTATCATGTGGCTCCAGGTCTGGCTCTACCTGGACCTCCATTTCCCATCTGTGGATTGGGTATAATGGTGCCTTCCCTGAGCTGTGGTGAGGTTGAGAGGAAGCATTCCCTTTCCTTTGGAGACCTTGGGGGACTCACACGCAAGGTTGGCCGAGGGTGGGTGGGGAGGAGGAAGAATGGGATGAGGCAGAAGGGAAGGGAGGGGAGGTGGGCCTTGGGCAGATCTCAGTGCCCACTGGGGTCAAAGGGGAGGGGGAGTGCAGTGTGAAGACTTAGGTTTTCCTGCTGGTGCCCAGGCTTGAGAAGGGATAGCAGGGGTGGTGGGTGTGCAGGGGCATGGTCCCTCAGCATCCCCCCTGGGAGCCCAGCACTGAGCCAGCGGTCATGGAGGGGAGGGAGGCAAGTGAGACCAGCTCTGCACGTTAGGGGCTCACAGTCTAGCAGGAGAGGGAGACGCCGTGACAGTATGGTGGGGAGAGCCTGGCCGCGGTACTGAGGAAGGATACTTCTGGAAGGAGGGGTCCTAGATCTGACCCCGAAGGATGCAGGGTGGAGAGGGAGGATGGTCATTGCAGGTGCAGGTGTTGCAGGAACAGGGACCCCCTCTGGGGCCCAACAGTGGGCTCTTGTCTAACACTCGGAAATGAGTCGTCCGAGGAGAC